ATCATTCAATTTCACTTTTTCCTGGTATAATAGCATTAAATTTATTTAATTCCGAATAAAAAAAAATAGGAAAAAAATTAATACAAGATAAAAAATTGCTCCCATGCCCAGAATCGAACACTGGTCTCCTGCGTGGGTATCCCCTACCTTATCGATTACGCTACGATTTCTTGTTGAGAATTGAGGATTTAAAATCAATTAATTTATAGAAATCGATGGAACAATCAGTTCACCTGTTGTATCGAGGAGCTGCAATGTGTATATATCTTGTACATCTTTTGTATTTTCTATGTTAGTTGTGGGGATTTTGGGGACAGACTAATTAATTTCACATCTCCTATCCTATCTATGTTCCTGTATCAAAGATTTAAGATCATTGTAAATTCTCTATCTAGAAACTCATAGTAGAATGATTTTTTTAAATCAATATTATGTAGAAAGCTAAAATCTACTATTTTTTTCTACAAGAGGCATGTATAAACGATTTATTTTTCTTGTAATTTAAAATTAATTTAAAATAATGTCTTTCAAAAACTAAATATCCTGCAGTTTTGACAATGACATAATTAAGAAACGAAATTGATCAGTAATACTTGCGATCTTCCAGAAGTGGTTTAAATAATATAAATTCTGTCTCATCAAACAAAACTATATATTTCCATAAAAAAAATACACGTATAAGCACTATAGAATGTTATGCATTTATTTAAATTTTGATTCGGTTATCGGGTCATCATTTTTTATCACTTGAAGAATTTTTGTTTTCTAAATGTAACTAGAAAATTAAAAATCATTTTGAATAAGTCTCACATATTTTATAAAATTATAATAATTACTTAGATTTATTTTGATTCAAGGTACCCGAATTTGATCACGATTAGTAAAAGAAAACACAATTAAGATTGAATAATAAATCTTTATTCAAAATATTGCTTCCTTGTTCAGAATAATACGCTAGTGAAAAAATTGCTAAATTGAGACTTAAATATCACTGAAAGGTGGCGGAAAGGTCACTGAAAGACGACAGAAAGGTCACAGAATGTCGACGGAATGGTCACTGAAAGACGACAGAAAAGTCACTGAAAGTCGACGGAAAGGTCACTGAAAGACGACGGAAGGGTCACTGAAAGTTGATGGAAAGGCCACTGAAAGTTGCCGAAATGTGTTCGCTGAATGATGACTGAAAGGTATCTGAAATGTGACTGAAAGGCAACTGAAAGATCACTGAAATGTATGTGCCATTCAGTGGCTGAATGGCCACTGAAAAGTTACTGAAAGCCACCTTTCAGTTTTAACTGAAAGGTCTTGTTTCTTCCTCTCTACATGACTGCTTTATTATATGTGAAAATGAGAAGAAGTTAAATATAGGGCGCATATAAAAGTAACTTAAGTATCCTAAAAATTTAAGAAAAATGGAGGAAATTTGGATTTGCCAAAAATAATTCTTGTTAAACTATTTGTGTCAATTTGGTAATATCATCTTATACATCCTATATTGTAATATCTTTTTATGCAAAAAGAAAAACATTTAATCTTTTGAAATAGAAGACTCTGTCTCATGATTGCATATCTTTATTTTAATTTTCAATGACCAGGAAAAAAGTGATGACCTTGACCTAACCTTGACTCTAATATAAAACGGTCAAAACTAATCAAACTAATACCATCACTTAGTAATATTGTCTTCATGATTCTGTGAAAATTTCATGAATTTTTAAATTTAAGAAATACAGTTTTGTGTGAGAAGAATCCTACCTTAAATCTTTCCAAACGTGTGTTTGAATCTTTCCTTTGGAGTGTTTGTGTGTGTTTGTGTGTGTGTGGGGGGGGGGGTTGAGGGGCACAACCCTGGAACCCCCTTTCAAAAATGGCTGGATCCCCCCCACCCCTGTATACTGTCATATTTGGTTGATGCATGACTTGCACATGCAGTACTGTTGTGAATGGTGTAAATATTGAAATATGTAAGGAACTTAAGGTTAGTTAATATTTTGATATATATGGTGAAAAAAAGCAAACAACTGTTTTGTGCAAAATAGATATGCACTTATTTTTTCAATGTTAAGCACTATTGGTCTTTGACCTGGTATTCCCTATTACTGATTTAGACCAGCGAACGTCTTATAAATAGTTATATTTATTTTTTACATAGTTCGTTATACCAATATTAAAGTTAAAGGTAAATACATCAGTCAATGCGTGAAAAAAGGAAATCAATAATTTGTATTAAAATTTTTACTGACAAAAAGAATAGAGAAGAAAAATAATTAGTCCTTGACAATTATTTTAAGATCTCATTATATCAAGATACAAACAGTACAACAATATTTACGTGCCCATTATTCAATAATTCTATTTCCATTTTTCTTTTTACGTGTTCATTTAAATTATTCAGAATTATGATTTTTTTTTAATCGGGCATGGAACATCTTCCTGTATATTTTTGAAAAGAAAAGTTATTGCAGCAGGCTTATAGAAAACAACTCGTGTACGGGATTGGGAGGACGACTTATAGAAATAAAGAAAAAAAAATCATCAGACTTTATTATTAAAATCTTGTCTATTGATGAGAATTAATACAGTCAAGATCTCTCCCCCCCCCCCCTCTCTCTCTCTCTCTCTCTCTCTCTCTCTCTTGGTTTTGATGTTTCTTGCATTTACTGAAATTCAAATATTTACATTAGAAATATTTTTAAAAATAATTTTTGATGTCATTAATGTGTGTGTGTGTGTGTGTGTGAGGGTGTGTGTGTGTGTGTGTGTGTGTGAAGTGAGGGGGGGGGGGCATTTTATTATATTCATAGCGGGCCAGCAGAATAATCATAACATGTTTTTGTCATTTGTTATTTTTTTTATTCTGATTGAAATCATACTTCCTCCATAAATCTGAGCGTAAAAAAGATCTGATATAATTTTTTTTTGAAAATGTCCTGTAAATATTTATTATTAACTTTTAATGTGTAACTACTATGAATGATCTAAATATATCGCATGTACATTATAGATGTGATATCATAATTCACGTGTTTGGCAGAGCTTTAAACTACTATTTTGCAAAAGTTAAGGAATAACAAATATAATTTTAAAGTATGGAAATCATGAATTTTAAATGTATTTTGTTTAGATGCTAACTTCAGTTTAACTTGTACACCATTCGATACATTGAAAATCAATTCAATACTGTTTTTCTTCCTCTTCAGTTTTTGTTTTCACGTTATAATTGAAGAAAATTGAATTCCTAATAACCAGCTTTTAAATAAATCTGAATTTCTCGAGATCGAAATTTCAAGATCAGAGAAATCAAGGAAATCAATTATGCATGTACATGTAAGTCTACGTTGAATGTTCAGTTAAATTTTGGAAAATTTATCAATGTTCTCCATAATGTCACTGTTTACATGTACAATGTATAAATATCGATCGCCGCATCAACAACAATGATCGACCTACAATCCCATTACTGTATCGGAACATACAAGGGGCGGGTTTATAGGCGGCGAGATCAGTATCGCATCAGTGCGTAAAGCGATCCCAGATAGCGAATTCGGGTTCGCATTAGCGGACTAAGAGCTGGCCCCAAGCGAACAAGACGCACCCAGAGCGGTTCCAAAATTTCTGAAAGCGAACCAGAAGTGGACCCCAAGCGAACCCGGGGTCCGCTTCGGGTTCGTTCTGGTGTTAGGTTGTGTCCGGAAGATACTGTACACCTGCTAACTGTTTGGAAATCCAAAATGTACCATTTAATTTCCTATTCGCGGCTAGGTTAAGGGGTACCCAAAGGTAGATCGGTGTATGCAGAGCCTCAGGAATTTGATTATGACTTCACAATGAAATTGTACAAATGATTCTCGGCGAATAGATGATAATTTCCTTTTTCATATACTCTTACATACTTTAATTACTCATAATTATTGTAAATATAAATCAATATGCAACTTATCTTGTCATGATAACACTATATTTGAATCAAAGCCAATTTGATTTCGCTGTACTAACAGATATGACGTCATAGGCTAGTTTAACACGCATTTTCTCTGTACTTGAGACGCAGATCAAGCTATTAGTGGAACTGAAAATATGAAAATTAAAACTAAATAGGCGTGGATGATTAAAGTTGATTCGTGTCTTTAATACATTAATCAATAATTCACAGTCTTATTTAATTGATAACTATTTGGTCTCTTATAAAGCCGCAGTCATGCTTTTTTATATTAGGAACCTACTACAATCACAGGTACTACCCCTCCAAAATTTCAAAGGTTCAACGATATCCACTTGATTAAAAATTATGCTATCTGTTAAATCTGTTATCAAACTTAAATTATTTTTATTTTAATTCCTAATATTTGTTATAATTCCAAAGACTGTTTTTGCATTTCTCGAACTTGGTATTTTGAATGGAAAGAATCGTACATTGTAGCCGACCACACATGGAGTAAAATCTCAACATCATAATATTTAGAGAAAATGAATATGAGGGTGATCTGAGGAAAATTGCAAATAGTAAAAAGAGGGAACTGATTTTGATCAATAATTGCTGAAAATAAATTATAGAAGTAATATAAATTAAATAGAGAAGGGGGGTCAATTTTGATTTCATTGAATACTTATTTTGAAGGTGTGTATGTGTTTTAAAATTTAATTTAATAAGAAACACAAGGGATAAAGGGGCGGGGTAACAAAATAAAGAAACATCTGTGTCTGTTTAAAAAAATACTGTCAACTCCAATTTAAAATTTTAAATATTTTTTTAATAAGCAATAATACTGTACATACATGTAGTTATAAGCATATCGGAATGCAACAACGAAGCATTAACATAATCAACAAACAGATAAGTCTCCATACATTGTTTGAATATCAAATGATTATTTGAATTTTTGTGTGCGTATATGTGAACAAAAATCAAAATTAAATAAAGAAAATGACCAGGAAGGAGTTAAGTCAATTGTAATTTAGAAGTTTCCGTTTGTGCTATAGAATAATTATGAATTTAAAAGATACCAAAAGACCAGAAGATGTCGGCTAAAATGCCAGTAATTTTGAGAGGGAACTGTCATCAGGTTCTAGTCCCAAACTTCAAGCTGGTTTGGTTCTGTAATGAATTGGCCATTCATTTTGCAAAGCAAACCTGTCCTTGCCATTTCCCGGTAGATATGTATATTTCCTAGTGTTTTAACAAAAAAAGTGTATGTGTATAATATAAGTACAGGTAAATATCAGTATATCGAACATGGGATATCTCGAATACCCCGCTGATGTCGAAGTCGGTCGCCGGTCCCGGCCGTTTTCTCTATATATATGATTAAAAAAAAAAAAAACATCTGATATCTCGAACACGGTAATCCCGAATAGCCCGCTTATGTCGAAGTATATTCAAAGTCCCAAGCCCTTTTTTACCTGGCTTATCTCGAAGTGCAGTGAATTTTTTGGTCTACTGAACACACCTGGCGTCGTGACTTCACACATTCTTGCCAGTGGCTATTAATTAACACCTTCAAACCGGGGGGAATCTGAATTTATCCCAAGCTCATGTTGGTTATCGGTGGCAGGGTAATTGGTACCACAGCTTGGGTGTTTGGTATAGTCTATGACCGATAAAACAAACCACTTCGCAGCAATTCAGAAAAAAAAAACCAGACAGTGTTACCGATATTGGATTTAATAATATGCTCTGTATAATTAAAATCGTAAATTCATAAAACACAAAGATTTATCACGATAAATAAAAATTAACAGAAAAGTTGCAGTGCGTAATGCACAGTGCGGTGATTGGTTACATTTATGTTAATATGCTTATAAAAGATAACCTTGACCGCCATATGCATTGTAAGTTTCGTTAACTATATGTTCCTCAGTAGTACTTCGTAATGTAATACATTCAAGCTATTAATATTATTCAAGTACATGGTTTAAATACTGATTATTTTTTAACGCTCTAAATAAAACTTTATTTCATCAAATAATGTGTTTAAGAAATTCGTCTTTTTCTTTTCTTACTGAGAAGGTTCTTCAACTATAGTGCTAATGATACATCCCGTTTGACTACGTACGTAATCCTTCATGCCATATTCTTTCTTGAATTATCAGTCATACACTTAACTATTTTAAATCTGTTGATTAGCGTTATTTTTATTATTCTGTTATTTTTGCGTAAATAGGCGATACATAGTACTCACGAAATAATCATTTTCTCTTAAATTCCTATCTTCTTAAAAAAATATATAAAGCACAATTGACGAAAATTTTGTGTCAATGTAGAAGATTAAATATCTTTCTCGCGAAAATAATGTGATATTGAAGCCACATTCTTGATGACATCAAAATTTTAAGGCACAATAAAGCATAAACCGTTATAATGAGTAATTCATCTATTTAAAACGAGAAAAATAATTCGTTATAACAAGATAGTATCTCTTTATTACGGTTTCATGTAGTTATCATTTTATAACAAGCTAGTTATCTTGTTATAAGGAGATATATGACTCGTTATGATATATGTAAAAAGCTCGTTAGTTGTCTAATATCCGAGTTTTGAGATTGTAACTCACCTACAATAGTGGGGCACAAGGTATTCATTTAAGTATGGAGTTGAAGCAGGTTGTTTCTGTATACAAACGCACATGAATAAATGAACGATATTTAAAGCTCTTAGAATTTATCAAATGTTATAGAAATATTGTGATATTAATCAGTGATGTATTTCATGATTTTAACAACGTCAGCTATATATATTTACAAATCTACTTTCAACTAGTGCTAATTGTAATTGCTTATTGCTAACTATCCGTTACAGATGTTCCCCAAACACTCCCACACTCCCTTTTGGTGCTTTATTCCCTGTAATCTTCATTAAATAGGACAAAATATATTCATTTGAGACTTTAACAAAACCAAGTTCATTCAAATTTTAGCATTGCTCGCGTGCGCATGTGAATGCATGTGCATAATGATAATATCATCTTGTCTATACAATCATATTTTTAATATACTAAATATAAAAGTATTTAATCCAAAAGTTTTTAAAAATACACTTATTCAAGTACATTTTTGATTAAACTCATTTCACGTGCACGCACGTGCATACATGAGCATGGTGACAATATCTTCTTGTAGAAGTCCATTACATTTATCTATGTTCTAAATCCCACCCCGTTTGGTTGAAAACCAAGGGAATTATAGCTGTTTAAAGTTTCAGTGTATGCATGTGCATGGTGATCATACCTTCTCGTAAAAGTCCATTATATCCATGATCCAAATCCCATTCTGTTTGTTTGAAAACGAAGGGAGTTATATCTATTTCAAGTTCAAGCCAATCAGATTGCAGCGCACGTGTATGCACATGTTTTCATGTTAATTGCTATATATCACGTTGTTGGACATCTTAATGCATGGCAATGTTTAAAATTTTATAGTATTTCCTCGAAAAACAAGAAAAATATAGAGACTTTAGTTTCAGCCAATCAGAGCGAAGCGCACGTGCATGTGTGTGAGATCTTGCTATTTTGACCATGTCATATTGTCTATGCCCTAATATATCCTTATATTATGAGTTTCAAAGCATTCATCAAAAATGTAAAAAGTTACGCCTATATCAATTAAATCAGTCATTTTACGTGTTACACGTGCGCGCTCTTGCAAACCCTAAAAACATTTTACCTTAGCCGGATTGTAGTTTACAAGATCACTCGATTACAAAATTGAAGAAAAATAATAATAATGATAATAATAATAACTAGAGCCGTTTTTCGGGAAAATTGGGGACAAAATGACCCTTAAAAATCAGAAAATCGAGGATACCTCTAGACCGGAAGTGACGTCATCGAAACGGAAAAAAAAAACGCATAAGGTTCTAGTAATGTTTCATACGTCCTAAAAGTTTCATAAGATTTCGTTGAGCCGTTTTCGAGAAATCGCGTGCACAAAATCGGTAAGATAAAAAAAATAAAAGTGAAAAAGAAACCGAAGAAAAACAATAAGGTCTTCCGCTGAAGACGGAAGACCTTAATAAGAAACAGAGTAAAGCAATTTGTTCCCCAACTTCGTTTGGAGAACATATTTATATGGTATTTCAAAAAGATCGTATAGTCTTTATTAAAAGTAACTGATTTTTTTATTGTACGAATATTTTCTAAAATTGCCGTACATTCTGATAACAGTGAAAAAAAAGGTTCTGAAAATCAAAAGAAATTCTGACCGATACTACATATTTTTGAAAGTAGTTTTGCTGTGGTTATATATTAAGTTTCTTGATCGAGTTACATGTACCGCATTACAAAAAAGGAACCTCAGAACAGTAAAATAATTTAAAGAGTTCCTTAAACATGATGAAAAATTTCAAAATTTTCGGCAATTTATTTACATCAATTCAATGACTTCTGTATCATGTTATGTTTGACTTACAATGCTTACATAATGCTAGAGCCGTGGCTCTATATGAAAGACATAATTTTATTTCAATATTTTTCATAAATAATACAATGTATTTTATTGCAACTACCAATCAACCGGTACATTGAATTGTGAAAACAATTAATTTGTCTTTGTGCGTAAAGTCCGGCGAAGGTCTAGGAGATAATTGATTGATTACTCAAGGTGAAGCCCTAGTATGTAGTGTTGTAACTTTGTGAATTAAATGACGGTAGAATTGTTTGATTAAAGTTTCAGTTAGAGAGAATTTGTGTGTTTAGATTTTCTAATTCTCACAACTCTTGCTGTGTCGGCAAAATTTTTCCTGTGTCGCATGCATGAAATTTGAATCGTTACTGTGTCGGAGAAAATTTCACTGTGTCGGTAATAACACGGTAAAACAGCTCATGGAGAACCCTGATTTATGTAGCTAGTAGCTATCATAAACCAATATATTGATGACGAAATGTATTCAATTTATAAATATCTGTCCCACCTGTTTGTTTACGCAGCAACGAAACTCCCCTTCTCAACGAAAGAGCACACCAAGGGAGATAATCTCAAAACTTGCATATTAACTAATACTTATTATAAGTATTCGTTAAAAGTATATAAAACACAACCACAATTGGTGAATTTTGTTTTCTCCTTAATGAAGAGTAAATGTCTTTTCTTTCTTGCGAAAAAAAGTAAAGTGTTATTAATTGATTTACAGTTATTTTAAAGCCAGTTTCAACATTTTTTCATGACATGAAAATTGAAGGGGACCATGAAACTAAAACCGTAAAATTGTCTTTATCATCATAGGAAAACCAGATTATTTATGGCACGATAAAAATATTTAACTCATTATATTGAGATAAATTATTTGTTCAATGAGATAACGCAAGTTAAAATCTCTATTTGACGATATAATAATTGGTCTAAAGCATTGATTTGTCTAAGTGATACAGAGTATCGGTAAGTGAAAAAATATGTGAATGCTGAATAATCGATATACGACCGGTGAACGGTGAGCGAACGCAAAACGCGAACAGAGCGCAAACGCAAAGGAAAAGTAAACAGTGAAAGAAAGGTCAACGTAAGATGACCGATTCTTTTTTCAGAATGCCTCTGATCTTTTCTCTGCATTGTAACTATGCTATTGTTTTCTAATGAAACATCAACAAATTTTACGATATAAAGGATTATGTGACATAACTGCGATTAGGAGCACATTTTATTTATAAGGAACAATGCATTATTTGATTTTTTAAATCCTATCACAAAGAAAGAATCGGCCTGGTTTGTGACAAAATGTTCTTTTATGAAAGAGAATAGGTGGGTCTTAGTACAATAGAGGACATGCATGTTCGAGGAGTCTACCTTATATGGCAATGTTATCATTTCGCACATTTTCGCTTACCGAAAAACAATTTTCAATCTGATGACAGACCGACAAAACATGCCGGTTTACTACTCGTTTAGATTTATCACAATGACGTGGTTAAGGTCAATTTTCCATTTATCCAATAAGTCTTCTACATTTAAAACTTTTAATTGTCTGCTAAGGCTATTTATTTAAGGAATCACTGTCTAATTTTGAGAGTATGCCAGGGCATCAACAATAGTGGGTAACATGGGATAAATTGCATAACGGTCGAAGCCCGTTATGCTTAAATTATCCCTTGTTTTCCACTATTGTTGATGTCACTGGCATACTCTCATATCTAGACAGTGATTTCTTATATTTCCACTTCATTGTGAAACAAAATTGTAGACATAGACATTAAAAATGTAGACTAATAGATTTAAATTACACGAGGACTTCCATGCCAATTTCAAAAGTCCTCGCACACTGACGTCAAACACAAAGGCAGCCGCACGAGATTTACATGCATATTTGGCTTCCGTAGCGTCAGATACAGAGACAGATGCGCACGAAATTTGCATGTGTATTTCCTCCTTAGCTGCTGACCTTTCGACCTGCCTTATTTACATTCCGGTAGAATTATCAAGAAATAAATTCCCCCAATTTTCAAACAGTTATCACAGAGAAAAAAAAAATAGAAATGGAAATATTTTTAATTATACGCAACGTTTACAGTTTTGGGTCAAGAAATCTAATGAAACTTGTATAAACTGATACTCAAAATAAATGTAGACCTACGGCTACGGCCTTCAAACACTTTGCAAAACTAATATAAATATATATATTTATAAATCAACTTTTTGTTATTGTGAAATCGGAAATTGTTCATATGTAGATCTGTGTTTTATTTGTGGCTCGAATCATAAAAAGGAAAAAAATATTTATCAGAAACAAGGTAGAATTAGCCTTTTTTCCAAATATGAAATTTCCACACTATTATTGTGTTACTCACTCGAAGCGCATCTTGTTTAGCTGATTAGTCAGTTAGAAAGTATCGCCGTGACCTTGATAAGCATATGAATTCATTTTTACCTCAGGAAATCAAGTTCCGTCGATCTGTTCGAAATGGGAAAGGCCCGCCAGATTCTAATTTTTTTTATAGCATATGAGCGCAGTTAGGTATATTTTTTTCCTATCACATATAGGTAGATTTCAATAAAATGCACTGAACAGCCAAAGGAGAAAAATGTACCTACCTGCGCTCATATATTTAAAAGGCTTTAAAGGAATGTTAAAAGGATATCTCTACCCAATTAAAAGTACTAGATCTTTCAAATCATGTTTCTTTTTTTGTTAAAAACAATATTCCATACACATATCATTGATGAGTTACATAAAAAATAAGGAATATGTGGACATTTAATTTTTTGTCAATTTTGCGGGGACCATAAGTCATCTCATCTTTTTCAAAAATATTCTTTTAAGAAATACAATACGTGCACATTAAGTAACAAGTTAAAATTGATGCAAAGCATCAAATCGGCCGCAAACAAAATCAAGCATTAAAAAAAATTTCTTTCACAATTTTAAAAGCGTCCATGCAACTGAGGAAAGCACTTCAAGATATTCAAAGGTGAAATAGTTGAATCATTTTTATTTCTGGCAGTCTCAAAGCAAAATAAAAAACCTTTGCTCATATACAGATTATAAAAGACAGATAATAGATTCATCGATGTAAAGAAAGGTAATGATCATTGACGAATGATAAGAATTTATTGTCATCAAAATGAAGATGCTAGATCTTGGTCACGTGATAATGCCCATGGTTTCAGAGTAGGCTATTCTGCAAGCCGCGGTAAAAAAATGTAGAAAAATATCTTGGTGTCATTTACAGCATATTCAAAGCATTTTTTACTAGTTGAAAAAACTTTTCAATTTTTATTCACCATGCACTTTTACGATGTCATTATTATCCGGAATCATGACATCATGACGATTTCCTTCCATATCTTACACACTCCCAGGCTGGGGAGTATCTATTGTAACCTCTTTTTATTTAACCACAAATTATCAATTACCCACTGAGATATAATAATGAAATTGAAATATAATAACAACAGTTAATACTAAGTTTAAAGAGCAAGTTTTAAAAATATTTTACTCATGATTTTTATATGTCATTGAAGAATTCTATTTCATTGAACTTATAAAAAATAACGTCTCATTTCCCCATGTGCACATTCTAACACAACTACAAATAGATCGGCCGCTGCTGCGGCCGATAAAAAAAAATAATTACGTTTCTTACAATATTTCGGCAATATGCACATGCATGTGTTAAAATCACAAACGAAATGAAAGCCTCCTATCTCTCGCGACATTCCATCCAATTCATCTTTAAGTCTTTAATGAAACGCTCCCATCTCTTGGACATGAATGTGTAGCGTGTCTGACGATGAAAATATTGGCATACGTTGATGACATTTTTATACCCATAGCGGTTACATAAATAAATGACTGTTCAGGCCCTTCGTTATTTTTTTTTTATTTTAGTGCTTTACTACTGGTTAGCTTAACCAATAACCATTTCTAGTACTATTGCAGTAAAATCTAATACCTAAATTTGCTTTGATATAGCCGTTAAACTTGAAAATGACAATGTGGCCAGTGGCGGGAGTAATATCCCAAGTGAAGCTGATATGTTATTAGCAATGTCGACAGTTCCTGGTTACGTCTCATACAGAGATCCAAAAGAGGGTAGTGTCTTTATCCAATCGCTTGTCAAACATTTACAGAACGAATATAAAGAGTAAGTATTGGTTTATATGTCATAGGTAAATGAAACGGGATTTCTAACTATGTTTTAAGCAACAGCTTTCAACTGTTCATTATTTACTTCGTTATAACTTTTGGTTTTAAAAGACCATGCTAAACAAAACATTATTTTTCTTCTCCTAATTTTATTGAATGTAGCAAATTTCTTTCAGAAAACATCTGTTGGATATCCTTACCCTTGTAAGTAATGAAGTGTCACAAATGGAACCTACACAAATGCCTATTAAAATCGACACATTGCGCAAAAAAGTGTATTTTTTTAACAAAAGGAGTGAATCATACTTTCTAAAAAAGGCAGATACAAAATATGAAGATCCTCGTTTAAAAGTGTTTGGGTGGTACAGTGCAAGGAGATAATTTTGTTACATCATCAATGTTGATTTTGATGCTTTTTTTGCTTGCTGATTTTGATGCTTCCTTTGCTTGCTGATTTTGATGCTAGTTATCCTTATCCTGATCCTGGTTTTATCCTTATCCTGATGCTGGTTTGAAACTAGGACAATGCTTGTAATGCTACCTGAAGTAGGATTATCCTGCCGGAAGTGAATAATTCAAAAACAGCATCGCTATTTTAAGCCATTAAAAAAAAAATAATTTTGGGGGTATTTTTATTTGCAGTTTGTATTAAATGACTTTCCTTTATCTGTTTTCACTTTTTCCCGAAAAAAATTAGCGATTTTTAACGAATTTCGTTTTGTCGTACTGTTGGAATGGAATTTTGTAGTAATTAGTCATACGCACAATATCATACTTTTGTTATATTGGTTAACTGATTTTTCATGCACAAGCATAACTACTTACCCCTTTATCACCGATCTCAATATCATCAATCCGTGACGTGGCCTCACCAGTACACTCCATAGCGTTTGGTGATCAGCTGATTCAGATTTGAAAATATTATTTCTTATAGGTTATTGCTTTTGAATTAATTTAATAATAATCTTATGATTATATTGGCCAATTTATCAGCAAAAAATACATTCTTTGTATTTATTTCCGACTGAAATAGGAATGTCTATTTGCGGTTTCGTTTTGTGAAAAAAAAATCTGTAGTTTTAGTAAACCAGCATAATCCTGATTTTAAGTAGGTCAATGCTGGTTTTTAAATAGGCCAATGCTAGTTCTATCCTTTGCTTGCTGATGCTGATCCAAGTAATCCAATTTTATGATATATATGATATAATTTAAAATGCTGATGCGGATGCTAGCTCTATCCTGATGCTACTTATGCTGATCCTGATGCTTGTTTATGTAACAAAATTAGTTCTCTGCACTGTAATGTGCCTTTGTAAATTCATCTTTATTTAATATTATTTTTGGGTTGCAATAAAAATTGTTTTCAAAAAAGTAACAAATAATTTTCGTTTTTATTGGGAGTTGAACTATGTTCAGATTCCCTAGGTTGCCACGCGATTTCTAGCACAGTAATTTTACAATGAATTATATAGCGGCTGTCGTGGTGTTTCTGTGTCAGCCAATTTACTCCCCTGTGATATTCAATACAAACTCGCATCAGTCTATATAAACTCGAAGAAACTTCTGCAATAAAAATAGTCCATCTCATTTTTCTAAATTAATATAATTTTCATAAATGATGTGAAAGCAAATAAAAAGGATTTTATTTAACTTAATTTGAATAGCATATTTTTGTCATCTCTCTTGAGAAATGACACGTAAATTTTGATTTCCGTATGAAAAAATTCCCGTCATTTATCATTCGGCAATCCTCGGCTGACTCCACTACGCTCCATTACAAAAAGTGCGAGGTCATCTGAGAGCAAAAACTGGTCTTACTGGTTTGTCAATGACGCGATTGGAGATGTAAACAAAGATATAAGGTCAAGGGAACGCCAAGGTTTAACCGAACTTCTTTCAATTTGTTTCAGCAATAAGGAGACAGAACAACGTTACTTTAAAAAAAAATACTATGGAAAATATCACTGTTAGACATTTATTTGCTCTAACAAGTAAATTGATATATAGACTGGAAAAATTTTGTCAGACCAGATACATGCAACTCATTTTTTTACGTTGGTAAAGGGGAAAAAATAATAGCATTAAAGTTTGTTGATATTCGATCTCACAATTTCAAATTCCATTAATTTAACATCCTTTATTTCACGAGTTTATCAGCATTCAGTTGGTCTCGTGTACAACACCAAATCTGAACTTGAAAAATGTGTATGTACTTGCATTGCAGTATTTCCTTTTAAAATGTATCATTGGATTTTATTTAAGAAATAAGATATCATTTTTAGAGTTAAATTGGGGTATGACATGAAGTCGGTCACGTGATAAAATTCTATAACGCGCGAAGGGCGTTATATTAATTTGATCACGTACCGACTTCATGTCATACCCCAATGAAACTCTAAAAATGATATTTTATTTCTAATATTTATATTTTACGTTTTCATTTAGTTTACAAACAAATATAAGCATTATTTAGACTTAGATTTTGAAATGCAGCGTAACGTTACTACGACGTTATGTGCACGTGCAGTTTGCTTTCCATACGCAAGAAAGTCTGATCATGTTACCGACTGCATGTCATTGAAAATTTAATGTCATTTTTTAGTATTGTCATATAAGGAAAGACATTGGCAAATGTAAATATTATATAATTAAAACAGTTAAAATTAATGAATACATGCGTATGCACGGACACAATGGTATAATAATCCAATGATCGATCTGTGAGAAAGATCGTACCTCATAATTACAGCTGTTTTTTTTTTCTTGTAATGGCTCGTTAAACTATGTCTAATTTTTAATAACATTTGAATAAAATCAAAATCACAAACTTTAAGTGTCACTCGAGTGGCGCAGTTGTTGAAAGAGTTTGCTCTAGAGATTTAAAGTATAAGGCGGTAATTGATCCTTACGTCGCAGGTTCTAATCCTGTCAGTGTGGGATGCATTTGAAGATAAACTCTTTTGATGAGACCATAAAAACCGAAATCCCATGCCGCAATATATGCTTGCACAAAACGATCCCTCACTACTCAATGGATTTGAGTACCATGTATAGGTAAAAATTTGTAGACTTACATGTAGGTAGCTCCATCGACAAGTGGTAGAGTCTCAATATAATTGAAAAATTATCGAACGCAAAACAAATAAAATGTAAAGTATTCAAATACTTAGTTCTATAAAGAAATTACTTGAAATTAAATTTAAAATTAGGGAATAACAAAACTTGTTGATTAAGTTATAAAGATAGATACATTTGATAAAACAGATAAGGAAGGAGTTCTATAAAAATTAATTATGTCCGAAAAGAAATATTCATACCCAAAAGAGAATAGCAAATACTTATTTTAATCAGAGGAAAGAAAAAATGACAATCTAGTGTCTGGTGATGGTAACATCGAATATAAAGAGTGTTTGTTTGTTTGTTTCTTGGGACCAAATACCTTGTTCACATTCTAAAAAGAGTAGGGGGCGTTTGGATTCAAATGATTCAGAAATATAAGGGTATTGTTGAGTTTGAGTAAGAAATGGTACTGAAAGAAGTCTGAAACCTACCCTCAAAATAGTATTTTCGAGTTTGGAAAAAAAAATTTGGTGGTGGTGGAGGTTGTTTGTTTGGTTTGGTCAAATTGTTGAGGTAAGAATTAGAAAGAATAAATCCAGACCTAAACTTAACTGTTCGTGCGCAATAAATATATATATATATATATATATATATATATATATATATATATATATATATATATATATATATATATATATATATATATATATATATATGTGAGAATTCCATCGGCATCGAAAGCAAGTTTTTTAACTTGCCTAGATAGCCGAGCGGTCTAACGCGCTGTTCCTATACTGCTAGGAGACAGATTCCGTAGGTCGCGAGTTCAACCCCGGGCTGGGGCGGAAGTGAGTATCCTTGTAAAAGTGAATTTCTCTGTGCTTTCTATATCAATATTCCTTCACTTAGGGCAGTTATATTAGTTTAAGAGTTGTTGTAATTTGTGCTTTATAAATAAAATTAATTTCATCACAACATGTATTGGTAACAATCCTCTAAAAACTAATGTCCAAATAACTGTATCTCCCTTCCATTCTCAATGACCGTGTAGTGTAGGGCAGCGTTGTGAGAATTCCATCGGCATCGAAAGCAAGTTTTTTAACTTGCCTAGATAGCCGAGCGGTCTAACGCGCTGTTCCTATACTGCTAGGAGACAGATTCCGTAGGTCGCGAGTTCAACCCCGGGCTGGGGCGGAAGTGAGTATCCTTGTAAAAGTGAATTTCTCTGTGCTTTATATATATATATATATATATATATATATATATATATATATATACATATATTTGTAATGAATGGCAATGTAGCTCTACGGTCTGTCAATATCTTTTTTCGTACAGCTACAGTTCTGCAGCTAATTTAAAAGCAGTCCCATGATCTTGGCTATTCAGATGCAATAGAAATTATTTTCAATGTTCCATGTTGTATCTCTCACAAATCAGTTCTAGCTGACTTGAATCTGAAAGCATGAAACTGTTCCTATACTTCCCGTGATATCTTTCAGATAACAATGTTGAACTCCCATGAGTACTTTCAGGGGGGGGGGGGGGTGGTGGTGGGGGGGTTGGGGGGTTGGATGGCGATGACTTTTAATGCTTCAAATCTTTAACTTTTCAGACCACTTTAATACAAGTTCATAATTAGCAGAGGGGTCTACGTTTTCTTGGGGAAGGGGGGGGGGGTTCCAAGTTAACTTTTTCCTTGCTTTTGTATATAAATTTAATAACCTGGGAATTCAGGGGAGGGGGATCCTGAACCCCCCGACCCCCCATCTAGATCCGCATATGGCGTAACAATAAAAGCTTAATACCGCCTTCAAGAAAGGCTTCACAAAACCTTTCTGCATGAAAATGCTTAATAAGGCCTTTTGAATTCGAAAAAAACGTAATAACGCAAGTTTATAATATGATAACGCAAGTGGGAAAACTCTTTATACACAAAGCA